TAGTACACACACACTGACTGAGCACACACACATGGAGGTAGTATAAACACTTAGTAGTACACCCACACTGAATGAGTACACATACATTGAGGTATTACACACACTGAGTGTGAACACATACCTCATACACATATGAGGCAGTACACACACTCACAACATTGAGTGCATACACACTACACACACACTAAGGGAATACACACAACACTCACTTATTAAGTACACAATCCCTAGAGACACTGGGTGAGCACACACATCACACACGCCTTATACAAAATGTACATAAACCTCTCACACGTGAGTACTCACACAGTGTACACAGCTCAGACACTGAGTGAGTACAGGCCCCTCACTCACCGAGTTAAGCACTTCTGCTCCAACTCACATGCAGTGAAGACATGCATCTCCAATATGCACCACTCTTTGAGAATGTCAGCACTTATGAGCTGGAGTAAGAGGGTAAGCACTAGAGCTTGTCTAACAGTGGAACCCACCAGACGACATTCCAGATGGAATGGATGTGCCCCGTCTTTCCTGTCTTAATTTGTTTTTTACATTTATCTTCTCTATCTTCAGTCTTTTGTCCTCCCTTGGTTTGTTTTTTTTTTTCTTATCTCTCTCTCTTGATCTCTTATTCTTTATTTCTCAGCAACAGCCAAATACCGTCTCCTCTGTCTGGCCAAGATGTCTTCACACCAGTCTTCCCAGTCTCTTCTCTTTCTCTCGCACTTGTTTTGCTCTCTTTACCGTAACCCAGCACTTTCGGGTGTCTGCTTGTCCAGCTCTCTTCTCTCTTTGTCCACCACTTGCTCTGCTCTTCGCCGCCGGTCTGTCCTTCACACCCTGTCCCCTCTCTCAGTCCCCAGCTCGGCAGTGACCCCCCCTGAGTCTCCCCAGTCCGACTCTCTGGGCTCCACCTACTCCATCAGCGGACTGCTGGGCATCACCCAGGGCGCCACCGAAGGCAAGAGAAAACACGACGACAGTGAGTCTTCTGCTCTCCCTCTCTCTGTCCATCCCCACTTCCTTCCTTCCCTGTTCTCTCCTCGGTCCCGTGCCTCTGTCGCTATAACCTTTGACCTTTGACCTCGTGGTCCTCTGCATTACTAAACATAGTTGACTAGCTTTTTCAAAAAGTGTCACAGGCTTTCCAGGCCCTGAAAATGAGAAAAAAACAAGGCGTGAATGGACCTCCTGTTTTTTCACTGCTGAGGTGATTGGCTAGTGGGGCTGGCAGACCACAGCCAGGCAGGTACAGGGGTCATCGCCATGAGCTGAGATGGAAAGACCCAGTTGGCGATTTCGAATTTCGTACAATCACAAAAAATAGTTGCCATTTCTTTAATGTAAAAAGGAGGAGTTCCTAGGTAAATACAGCCGCTCCCCCATCCTCTATACTGCGTGCTCAGGCACTCAGTCTCTGCTGTGTCCCCAGGTGACCAGGAGAGCTGCCGCCTCAGCGTGGACTCGCAGGGCAGCGGCGGAGGTCCCCGGAAGCAGATCCGCCCCGATCACTTCCCCGCGCAGCACCTGGACGGCCTGGACTGCAGTTTCGACAGGCACCACTACCCCCCGGACACCTTCGCCTCGCCCAGCCATGGCAAGACGGAGCAGGTAGGGAGACTAGGGCGGCCACCGGGCAGAACACACCAGTCATCCACACACAGACTGAGAAAAGAGGCCCCAATCAATCGCTGAGGCCAAATCACAGGCGCTGTCGGCCACTCACAGAAGGAGGATACATAGACAGGGGAAAATCGGCCAATCACAGACAGAGAAAGTGCCTAGATATGTCAGTTTAAATTAACAACAGGGTGAACACCACAAGCTGATACATTCTGTATGACTGAAAATGCCAACAAGGAAAAGTCAATGGTCCTCCGACTCTGCTGGCCTAGGTTAGAAAGACTCTGTAGTTCCCAGACTAACGTCGGCCACACGCGTGCACTAAGAAACACTAACTCACAGATTGGCAGCAGTATCTGACCAATCACGGCTAGAGCAGGGAAATACTGAACAATCAGGTTTCAGCCCATGTGTTTCACGAAACAGCAAGGTGGGCAGCGGCATGTTAAAGCACACTCTCTCTCTCTCTCCCTCCCTAGGCCCTTTACCCCCTCTCGCTCATCAACGGTAGCTTAGAGGAGGGCAAGGCCGCCCTCTCTACATCGACAGCTGCGATCGGTCGGAATCTCACGGCCCACCAGGGCTACTCTGTAGTGTCAGGTAAGAAGCTATCACAGCAGCAGTTCTGTGTCATCATCACCCATGTCTTCATCACCCTTCCTGGCCCTTTGACACTCGACCTGTGAAAGGTCCAGCTCCCAGATTTGTTTTCCTGCCTGCACTGTTAATAATTTCCTACATGAGCAATTTAAAATGAAAGGAGACCCATTCAGATTAAAACTATTTTAAAGTATTTGCATTTTTTCATGGGTTATTTTTATGTAAGACTCATTGGAAATGTTCTGCACAAAGACTGAAAAGCAGACAGTTAGGGTTCTATGACAGCACTGGTTCTGAAATAAGTCTTGCTGACCAGAGCCAGGTAATGCTAAGTTTATCAGGCATAGGCAGAAACATGACAGTCAGTAATTAGTAGATGTTGTGCCTGTTGCCAAAAGTACTTTTCGTCCAACAAGCAACAAAAAAACACTGACAGCTAAGATGAGTCCATTTACTGTTTGAATTGACTATCATTTAATAACTATGCACTCATATGTTAAGCTTCATGTTTTCTTTTTTAATGCATGCATCCAATTTTTGTATCATTTTTCTTTATTTTTCATTAATCCATTCATTTTACTTTTTCTTTTAATTTCCTTGATCCCAATCTCTCCCACCCTTTTCTGCACACTCCACCCTGGTTGACTTCAGACCACCTGCAGCCCCTCCCACTGTGTCTGAAACAGGAAGTCTCCCTAGAAGTGCCAAACTCCAGCTCCTCCCCCAGTGTCATGCCTAATCCGGCCTTCCTTGAGCTCCAGCCAATCCAGGCTGCCGTCTCTGTCAGCAGCAGTGGTGGAGGCTCCTCCCACCTGTCACATGCCTTCAACACTTTCTCTCACCATGCCCCAGTGTATGGGCAGTTCAGCAGTCAGCCCCTAATCGCAGGTAATGTGACCTGGCTGTGTCTTTCCGGTGCCATGCCATGCCAGTTCACCAGATGCCCCTGTTGAGCTCTCTTCAAGAATACTGTACCTACAGAAAGTATTTATTTTTTCAGAGCTTTTAGATCTTTTATACTAATGAAGGATCATTTTTACTTCCTGTAAGGTTTCACAAGGGTGTGCAGAGGCCCGCATGAAACATGCATTTTGATATATTACTCCATTCCTCCAATTCCTCCATTCCTCGAATTCCTCCAATGATCAAGCTCAACAACATGGAACTCAAATTCAGATCTACTAATGTATTTTTCACTAGACTTCAGCAGTTAGCACAGATGAGTAGTCTTATGTTATAAAGGAGGTGTAGCTGTTGGTCAGAGTTCCCATCTCCTTCTGTCCCTGACAGCTGTGCCATACTGTCTGTGAATCAATGGCCCAGCACCCCAGAGGCTGTAGTTCTTAATTCTGCAGTGCCACCGGTTGGCACATGGTATTGTTGTGCCCTAATCGTGCTTTCATGTCATTGCAGGTCGGGACATGGTGAGCTCCACTCTCCCTGGCTACCCCCCACACATCCCAGCCAGTGGTCAGACGGGCTACTCCTCCTCTGCAATCGCTGGGATGGTGGCAGGTAAGGGCTTAGTGGGACACAGAGAGAAAACCTGTCCCATACAGGGCTCCTAGGATATTCTGGCAGCTTGTGAGAGCTAAAATTTGTATCCCTCTTCAGGACGTAGAGGGTGAGTCAGCTAGAAGTAGCCACATGGTTGACAATAAAAAATCCACTCTAGATAGAATAATACTAGTAGTAAATCATACTAATAATACTAGCTGTAGTCACTAATAGTACCAGAGCCAGTAATGCGGTTCGTAGTGCTGATGCCACAGCATTACAAAACATTTAGTCTGTAGATCTGCAGCCTCCAAGCTAGATAATAGACCCACATTTGCTATTCGTATGTGTTCTGTAGCCAATGGCTAGTGGGTACTTGTAGGTGAGTCATCCTGCAGGAGGTTCTGATTGAATATGTCAGCTGAACCAGGGCTCAGCTCCACACGCCTTCAGAATCAGGTCAAGTTCAGGCTCTGTTCAATTACGTTTACGCAGAACATCATGTTTCACGAGGGACCTGCTTTTCTTGGAGCTGGAGAAAGTTTTACCAGCTTTGTTCAGCCCAAATTGGCCCAAAAACAGCCATGGCGTGCAGAAAACCATATCGCACGCACAGCGTCTACTGGACGACTCCACACAACTGTACTGCCCATTTTACCCACGCTACCCTCTCCACATTGTCAGCACAGGTTGACCTCTTGTGTGTTAGTGTTGGCTGTTCGGCTACACACAGAAACTTGAGAATGCAGGACAAAACCAAGACTGAAGGTTGCGGGGATTGGTTTCTTTGATGTAGTTTGTCACAATATTTACAAACCCACTTCTGACACAGTGAAAATGCCCATGGCAGGAGAACGGTAGGAGAACGGTGAACGCTGAAGGAGAGGGGTCCAGGACAGGGAGAGAGAGAGGGACAGAACGGAGGGAGGCCGCTCTCCCACACAGGGAAGAGGCCGAGCCCGGGGCCGAGCTGTGCTCGATTAACGTGAGGGAGTTAATCAGTAGCCCGCTCCGCCTGAGGCGCAGGCCGATCGGGACGAGAAGAAACAGGACCGGGGGCCTGGGGTTCCGCCCTGCTGCCCAGACCCTGCTGCCTGATTTGTTGATAGCGCGTTGCCATGGAAGCCATGAGGCCCAGCCGGGTGCGTGCGTGTGGCGGTTTGGGGGCGCAGACGAGCAGGGTGGGGAGTGTGGGGGGGGTATGTGATGTGCGTTTGTGCGCTGTGCCTCTTTTTTTATTTGAAATCTGCCCTTTGAAGCGCGAAATGAGAAGGCCTGATTTATTATTTTTCTATTGGGTTGGCTGTGGGGAAGCGGTCATACACAATTACTCACGGGGAGGTGGAGGGAGGGGAGCTGGGGAGAGGAATTCAATCCTGCCTGCATAATTACCAATTAAAGATCGGAATGTTTTAAAAAAAAAAGGAAGAACGAAGGCAAGACTAAAGAGGAAGTGAGAAATGTAGGGAGAGCAGGGCATCGGGGGAATGAGCACTAAGAAGAGGACACACAGACTGACTTTCCGCACCAGCGGTCTGCTGGATTTGACCCCCAGCTATACACAGAGTCTGCAGATTAATGGTTTACAAGCAGTCTTAACCGTTAGTGAATTATGTGCAAACTCTTGACCAGATGCCTGTAGAGACACATAAGCAAAATTGAGTCACACACACACACGCACAAATGAACACGCATGCACAGGCTTGCAGAGACTCGCATCGCCGTCACGTTCAAGGGCGCATTTTAAAATTGCAGGTTCGTGAACAGGTTCGGCCATAAACACGGGCGTACTTAAACCTAATCCAGTCAAATCCGCCCCCTTGTTTTTAAAGGAGCAACGTCACATCACACAGATACTGCCTTATTAGCAAGAGCCCAACTGTGCAACATCAAACAGTCATCATCGCCATTAAAAGTGCAGCCAAAGTCAAGAACAGCTGTACTTTGAAATACAATTGCTGCACATTATTTACTACTCATCCAGAATCTGTACTAAGTTATAAGTTTATTGTGTAGGTTATCTTACTGCAATTCAGGGCCTGAACTATATAATGGCCAATTACCTAGTTAATAGATGTTGTTGGCGTTCTGAGCAGTAATTGTCCACAAATGCTTTGTGGGTTCTGAAAGAACTTCATTGTGAACATGCTTCTACTGCATTTCACTTGCTTACATGCTTTGTGCTGCGGAATAGGAGGAAGAGGGTTTGCTCAAGAATCCCATTCTGTCATGGGTGTGGAAGGAAGGTGGTCTGATTGCACCAAACTGTGGTGGGAACAAGCAGAAACACCCTTGTGAGGGGCAACCTGGCCAACACTTTCTTCCCAAGCGGGTCTCAGCCCCTCGGTGATGTGGTAACATGCCTACTTACTGCAATGCAGCCTGGACTCTGAGTCCCAGTGCTGCAGTGCCCTTCCACCCTGCCTGCTTAATGAGAATCAAGCTGAAACCCATCCCACGTAAACTCTCTACCTGCCATCGTCCAGCTGTCAAGAGTCCTGCATGCCGATTCTTTGCAGCAGTATAGAATATTTCTCAAGCTTCCTGGTCACAGGGTGCTGGAGATCTGGTTTTGTCCTGCATCCTGCTTCTAAAGTCAAACTGAATTTGCATACTACTGAACTGCTTCTCTTAGTGGTCTTGCAAGGGGTTATGATAACCAAGCCGAGAGCGAATGAGGTGTGCTAACTGAGCACCTGTCAGCCCAGTGCGGATTGGTGTGTCAGGGACTGACACGCAGGTCTTGTGTGCCCTGTGTTTCCCCAGGTGGAGATTACTCAAGCAATGCCTACGCTCACTCCCCCTACACCTCGTACAGCGAAGCCTGGAGGTTCACTAATTCCGGAATACTGGGTGAGTCAGGCTCTTATAAACCTCTGCAGTAGAATACTCCCACAGTGAGTACAGGTGAGGGCTGCAGTATGGCATGGCGAAGGAAATACATGAAGAAAACAGTAAAAGCTCCAAAATGACTGTTTTAATCCATCTGTTAAGGAAACGGAATGTAATCACCACTCCAAGCTAAAATGTTTATTTCCCCAAACATGCTTTCTACATCTTGTAGGGCAGGCAGTGTCAGGTTACAGACAGCCTTTCAGAAACTGACATGGCACATTCGAACAGACCCTCTCCCTGAGGTTTTCTCAAATCAAGCAGTGTCTCTGGTGTGGTTTTTTTTTAAAACGGACAAAAGTGATTTGAACACCACCACCAAGATCAACGTTACTGCAGCAGCAGAACACAGATACGCACAGAGGGTATCACTGTGTGTCTGACGGCACGCAGGTCACAAGTCCCCAGTGCTCACATGACAGGCCACATGTCACCTGCGAGAAAACAGAACTCTGCTCTCAGCAACAAGTTACCAGGGGGTGGGGTTTACCTGTAGGTACTGGCCAGTCACAGACAATACCTCCATTCTGGTGAAACAGCAAGTCTCTGACTAGGCATGGGTGCTGCTGTTATAAATTAATATGTCCAGTAAAGTTTGCCCCCTGGGGTATGAGTGTCTCACTCAGCTGAGCCAGGCAACCATGGGACACACAGCAACCTCTCTAAACTAATCTTTTTAGTTATGTTAAAAATGAAAAAAGTGAAAACGTGCACCAAACTACTAATTATTATCCATGACAAATGTAGTACTGTACTACTAATTAGCTCTCAATCGTTCTTGCGTTTCTGTGGTTGAGACACGGTGTGCTTTTATTTCAGCAGCTAGTTTGTTTCCCTGGCTTCTCTGTGACAGACTGTGGGAAGTGGGGTGTTGTAGAATACTAACCCAGGCCAAGCGTGTGAGTGACTCATGGTGCTCTCAAGCTTGTGGACCTGCAGGAATGCAGATCTTCAAGGGCAGCAGGAAGCTGGACAACCCAAACGTGTTTCATCAGTCGAAACCCCAGCCGGAAGCTAGGGGAAGTCACTTTGAAAAATCCAATCTGAAAATCCGACCTCGCCATTTACAAAGGTCGATAGCTATAAATTGTTTTCAAAACCGCTCTGGTCTCACAGCGTAGTACTCCACAACTCTACACGGAGCTCTTAGAACACAGTGCAAAGTGGGCCTTTTTAAATGAACTCTGTTGAGGAAGGGCGAGTCTGAGAGAACAAGAATATAAAAGTAATTGCAGTGTCTCTCCACCTGTCCAACAGGCTCACCCTACTACTACGGTTCTGCAACACGGACAGCGCCTCCTTCTGCCGCAGCAGCCTATGACCACCTCTAGTTCCCATGGGAACCCAAGAGCCGGGAGTTGGAGGTGCAACACTGAACGTTATAAGACTTTTTTAGCACGCAACGCACAAAGGCACTCTGATGCTATCTTTGTCTCTCACTGAGATGCTGGGTCTTCTTCACAGAGTTACGGAAAACATTTGTGATGCACAGCGGGTTTGTCTTCTTCCAGCGCATGAGAAGAAGAGGGAACTCAGAGAAATATCAGCAGAAACCTGCGCTGAACCCCCAGTCTGCTCTGGACAATAGTCAAATGATGGGGTGGATATACTGTAGCATCTATGAGGACGAAGGGACTGGACGGAACTCCCAACATCTTCCAACTTTTTTGTGTGTTCTCCTACCCACGAACCCTAAACCCCAGTTTTACAATGGAACCAAGCCGAGCCATTTTAGGATACCCAATGTTTTCTTCTGGATCCACATGTGATGAAATGAAGGATCTGCAGGCAGGGATGACCTTGCTGTGTAAGATGACAACCAAGGGTCATCTGCATTTCACTTTGCCGGGACAGAAAGTGCCCTCGACACGGGCATGCTTGTTAACACACACGCACGCAGAAATAAAACCCCACCCAAACACACGTTCCAAAAAATGAGGCTTGGTCTGCAGCAAACAAACCCTTGCTTCTCAGCAAAACAAACTTTAGCAGGACATTAAAGAAAAGAAACAAAGTTTTGGTCAGAAGTGAATGTTACATTTTGTTTTTAAAATACATTGACCTTTTATCCAAGCTAAATGAAATTTCATCAATGCAAGAAAAAATACAATTCAATTCCAATAGGATCTGGTCTGTAGGTTTGTTCTGTTATAATATATGTAAAATATATTGTATAATATATATTATACATGGAATATATGTCATACAAGGAACATATATTTTTCCGAATGATTGTGTCCTTTGAGATAATGCAGTTGCTAGGAATTCTGGGAATGAATATGAATTAGTCCGTGCTGTTTCACAAGACTGAAAAAGAGCGGAGTTAGAGGTCTGTTCAGACAGTTCTTCCTCGCGCTGCTGGGAAACGTGATGATCTCATTAATGTTCATTCCAATAACAAGTAGATGTATCTGAATAGATACTCTAAGGGATTTAGGGAGTACTTGTGTGGTAAAGGTTTGGGACACAGTCTGAGCCCACCAAAAGGAAGATAAAAAGTGACAGGTTACAATTAACTTTCCTTTTATGCCTGTACCCAGACAACCAACAGGCACTGGACCAGTATTGGCCAACATCAATTGTATCATGGAGCCAACATAACTTTTCTAGAGAGGGCATATTACATTGCTGTTGGCCAATGTAGCATGATAATGTCAGGCTAATAGAGAACTTCATAGACACAGTCAAACCATCTATTAAACCCTTAGGCTTCACTCTTAATTCCATTTTATTTTCAGCTTGAACATCTTTTTGTCCTTACCATCACACTGCAAAGGAATGTGTTCTTAAAGACACTAATCTTTTAGTTTCTAAAAAGAAACAAATTGACGAAAGAAACTAACTGTCCTTTTCATTAAAAACGGGGTATTTCAATGAAGCATCACCGTCTTAAATGCAGCTCACAAACTGCTAAACCCATTTGTATTGTTGACGTTTGTTGATTATCTGGGTACTAGCATGGACTTTAGATCTCGTTTTCCCCAAAACAGTGGATAAAAGCTGTAGGGTTGTTTTTTTTAAAAGACTACGGTTGAATTTCTGTAAAAGCAGACACAAATCTTTTTGAAATTGTTGAAGTGGGAGGAGGGGAAAGAATTACAAATAACTCTTTATGTTGTTCAGTGACATGAAGTTGATCTTTTCTTTGGTAATATTTAACTCATAATGGACGTGCTTTCCCTAAACCAGGCTGTTCCAGAGAAACTATCAATGTAAAGATACGAATCTGACTCAGCAGCTCTGAAAAGGCTGTAGAAGAGCCAGAACCGTGTTTTTTGCCTTACTTTTGCCGACGTGATCTGTAGCAGCCAGGGTGTAGGCAAGAATACATTTGTCAGAATCAAAATCACGGTCACGAAAACTAACCACAGATTTGGCAGGGAGGTATTGGCAGGTCAATACTAAACGTAACAAGTAGGAGAAACAAGAGACATTCTCTGAAACCACAGAGACGTGTTTCTGCTGCTCCCAGCGGGGGAGGCTGGGGAACCTGTCCTCGAGTTCGCGCTCGAGCGGTTCAACCGCGCGCTCGACGTTCCGCTGCTTCATGGCGGCTTTTGAGACATCAGGGAAGGAGGGGCTAAGGAGGGGGGAAGATTGTCCTAGAGTAAAAAGACAAGCAAACCAAATATAAAGAGTATGACCAATTCTTAATCCGATTTAAAGGAGGACACAGTGTATGTACACATATACACGCAAACCTAAATTAGAAGGAAAACGACTACTCTCTATGTGGGGCGTGGCGACGAACCTGTTCTGGAAGTGACGTACACAGAGTAAGGCGGGGCTACGCCCTGGAGCGGACGCCAGTCCATGACGCAGCACGTACGCACAGGCGCGATCCAGGATCCTTCAAACTAACCAGCGTGACTTTGGAAGGTGAGGGGAAAAAACAGAGTCCCCAGCAAACATGTGGAGAGTACGCAGGCTCCGTGTAGAAGTTGCCCCCGTGCGGAACTGAGCCGGAAACCCAAGAATTGTGAGGCAGCAGAGATGCATATTCGTGCTTGTCCAGTTCTCTTACCCTGCAGTGGTCTTCTATCCAAGCGGTGCGAGTATGCTATAGGGAGAGCCAGGCACTGCAACGTGCAGTCCCTTCTCCAGGTCTTTCTGTATTTCTGCTCTGATTAGCTGATAACTCAGTCCCAGAATGAAAGGAAGTGGTTGGACCAAGGAGCAGCGCTGCACCAGAAGCTCCGGCGTGTAGCTCCCTACTGTCCCAGGGGTCAGGCCTGCTGCGTGATGTGGCCAGGTGTCCCTTTTCCGCCCTCCGCTCTTCGCTGCCCCGCTTGGTTGTCGAGTGGACCAAGCAGTGGCGCTTGGGCATCTGCGACAGTCCCGGCAGCTTGTTGATTGGCCCAGTCAGGCCCGTTCGGTTCTGGGGCTCGCTCACATGTAAATACTGTAAAGGTCACACGGCCTCTTGGCTTGAGTGCGGCGAGGGCTTTTTTTCAAAACGACGACGAAGGAAGGGTTGGGGTCGGGATGGGAGCCGTTTGGAGACCAAAATATGCCAGAAACACGAAATAAAATAGGAGAAAAAAACCTCGAACTGCATTTTTAAACGAAAACTTGGGGTGAAAATATAACGGCTTGTTTTGAATTTGTTGTCATGCTCATGTTTTCGTAAGAAGGTTGTAACTGAAAGGTTTTTGTTTTTTTTTTATTATATCATGATTAATATTATTAATATTATTATTGAGAATGTAAATAAGCTATTTCTAAAGAAATATTTTAATTAAATAAAGCATGACATGAAGCGAGCAGCATGACTGCGGTGTACTGTAGTGACGGAGTTACCACCCCCTGCGTCTCACCTCTGCACATAAAGCGCATTTCGCGACACTACATTAAATTAAAAAAACAAGCAAACTCACGACTTTCCAATAATGAAGCAGAAATGTTTAAACTGCCAACTGAAACACCACCTTAATTAGCATCCCCGAAGAGCCCTCCTCGGCGATACGGCGCTGCTTTTGTACTGAAGGTAGGGATCTGGGACTGCCGTGATGAATCCATTATTTAATCGGATCAGCCCGTTCACGACAAACACTCATGTAACACGACTCTTTTCTACAGCGGGGCGTTGTGTGGAGCTACCGTGCGTGATCGGGGGAGACCTTCGGTATAAAAAATCGGAGAGATTAGCGACTTGCCTGATGCTCAACACTGCCTCAGCAAAGGAAGACCCCGAATCCTTTCTATTTCTGTTTTGTTGTGGCTTTGTTATTCATTTAAGGGCTTCACTTGGAATTAGGACTTCGTTTATGAGACTTAAATTTGATTTAGTTTCAGATTAAGAACTCTGAAGAACTCGTTTTAAATTAGTCCGGGAATCAAACTGCTTTCGCGACGAGGGCAGCGTGCAATAATGGACAATAGTGGATTTGGTGTTCTGGTAACCCGAGAGCTCTGCCGTACTTTCAGACTTAAAAAAAACTATTTTTCCACAAGGGACTCTATTGGTGTTGCTGGGTACATAAAAAAAAAACATCCTTCACACAAACATGCAAACATACACCAAAAAAAAATCCCTCATACACGCAGCATAAAAACAGAACACACCATATAAAAAAACAAGGTCAGGAGCCCGCTGTGTATTCTATATTTGACGCTCCCCAATAATATTAATAATATAAAACGGTTAATTAATTCTAGGGAAAACTAGTAAAAAGGGTAAGGACCTGAGGAGATATGTCCGTAAATCTAAACATCTCGTATTTACGGTGGAGAATGGTACATTAAAGAGCACACTAACTAATTAGTGCCTTGTTCGGCGCACAGACACGGTACACCCTAGTGAAGGAAAAGGCGAAATGGGCCGGGCGGCGCACGCCGAGCCAGTCCTGCCAGCGAGCGGCTCTTTAGACGGGGATTAGGGCGGCTAAGGCGATGAGGAAGCGTCCAGCAGTTCAGGACAATGGCTCGCCGTGGGGCTCCCCTGTCTGCCTGCTCCAATGGGCTGTGGCTCTCAGCTCCGGTCTGTCTAGCTCGGGCAACGCTGGCTGACTTTCGGAGAGAACTTCTGAGAGAATAAAGTCTTTATTCGGGAAGCTTTTGCGAATACCAGAGGAGATGGTTAGGAACAAACATTATTTAACCCGCATGTACTTTTTTCCCCCTTCTGTTTTCTATTTAATGGCAACGCTTTGTGCTTTAAATGTGTAATTAAAAAAAATCTAAACGATGGTCCGTTAACTGATGACTTCGGTTTAATTAGATGGAGAGGCCTTTCAAGGTGACAGTCGAGTTTGCCAGGTTTACATTGGGAGCTGTGTCAGCGGGTGGCCTGCAAGGGAACAGGCCGAAGTTAATTCCTCGTTGAAAAAACAGAAAAATAAATCGGCTGTTAATCTTTCTCATCTCAACACACGAAGCAGGTTCAACGGCATACATTTCGTTTTTTTTCCCCTTATTACTCAGCATGGACCTACATGAATATTTCTGTCGCCTCACCGGCAAAAAATAACCGTATTCCCGTTACCACTCATCTTAACCCCCAACCCCGTCGTGCTGTCAATAATGATGAAAGATGGCGGCGGTGGCGTTGCGGTAGCGCTGTTGTCTTTCTGTGTGGAACTCGCATGCTCTCCCCGCGTCCACGTGAGCGTACCCCTCGCAAGGTTAATCGGCGCCTGTGATCGTGTGAAGGACTGGCCCAGGGTCTTGTCGCGCATTGCACCCGAGTCTTCCGGGTTGGCGGACACATCACCAAGAATCAGCCGCTTTCTTAACAATAAGAAGATCATAGTCGTGTCAATAGAAAGGATAATAGCTATAGTGTCATGTACACCGCTTCCAGGTGAAGGGAAATTCCGCGTGATTTTTTTCAAAAGTCAGCAATTTACCAAAAAGAAAAAAGGACAAAGGCAATGATCCCGAAAACACGCGCATCTGTTTAATCTCCCTTTTTATTTTCTGCATCATGTAGTTTTATTTGCAATTATTTCTCCCCTCCTCGCGGCCTCATTATTATCAGCTATAACGAGGTTCCGGTCGGCGGAGCCGCGTCCCACCTGGACCCGCGAGGCGGGGAGGAGCGCGCGTGATGAATGGGCCCCCTGCCCACCGTCATCACAATAAAACAAACTGTGCTGCTACGACGACGACCTCGGGAAACATAAATGACACAAACATTTAATATATAAACTGCCGTTTAATTCAGTTTGCACTTTTAGGTAAATGGTATTTACAGCGAAAACATGCAAAGATCGAACGCAACGATTAGCCTGTAAGAAATTCAGTACCTTTAAGCGGGATTAAAAAATATAAGATTAGGTAGCCCAGAGTGGCAAGCAGAAACAAGGAATAAGGGTTACACATTAGATAATACTTTGAAAATCAAAGTGATGGACTGCCATTTCTATAAGAACTAATATTCTACCACTTCTTCAGCCGTGGGAGCGCATGATGGGGGTAAATGCGTTGCTCTTACTCCAAAGCATGCAGTTAAAGTGTGTGTGTCGTTTCTTTCTTTAATATCCGGAGTCTATGATGCTGCCAGGCCTCGCCTCGCACGTGCTGTCGGTGAATTCTGACGTCGCGCTGCCGGTACAGCCACGGATTCAGAACACGCCACGGACCGAGACAGACCTGTGGGAAAAGAGGTCGTGGGTCTTGAAGGCGGCCCGGCGCTGGGTGATCTTGTCTGGAGGGCCGGTGAAGTCAGCGCAAGCTCTCAGCTCGGGCGGTCTCCGCACTCCCGCGGCTACACACGGGAACACGAGACTCGAGACGAAAACAGGCCATGAAAGAGTCCGGCGAGCAGTCCTACTGCGACTGCTTGGGTTGGGAACAAGTAAAGGTTTATTCCATGCTGAGAAAAGAAGAAAACGAAACACGACGTTTCGGCTGTGGAACCTTCTGGTGCACATGTTCGAAACGTTGTTTCTTTTCTTCTCTTTTCAGCATGGAATAAACCTTTACTTGTTCCTTTGCTGCCGATACATGCCGACGCAGCTACCTACTTGAACTACTGCTACGGTTAGTATTACCACGATAAAAGAATCAACTAATAATTGGCGGGCTCGATCCAAGACATTTTAGGTTGCACACCACATGTAACACTGACGAAAAATACTATGCATTCCTGTTAGTTACAGAAACTCATGTCAAGACTGTCCGGACTTCAAGAAATGATATTTTTCCCCTTCTTCTGCATACAGTTCCAGAGTCTGATTTCCTTAACACTCAGACAATGTCAGGTGCCTGGCGATTAAAGGGAAAGTCCGGCAAACAGGACGGGACGATGAATTAAGTTGGGAAGCATGTGCCCGGCTAATGGGGCAGTTAGATATTCATGAGCTCTGAAGCTTCCAGAGTGTCTCGTTAAGCTAGCTGAGCCTGGCACCCCCCTCCCCTGCAAGAGGACAGAGCTTGGACAGCATTCCTCTGAAGAGGGCGAAACAGAGGAGTGTGAACCCCCCTCCCCATTCCTGCACTGGCCAAGGGGGTGTTAGGCAGTGTGCCGGTTCCTGCTGTTGGGCTGGCTTTCACTCCCAAAGCCTCTCTGCTGTCCAGTGTTTTCTTCCCTGCCCCTGCTGTCACACTCCCCCTTCCCAGCGCTCCCGTTAGCAGAGTGGCTGGGCTGCAGGCCGGGGAGAGATGAGCCCAGCTGCACGATACAACAGCGCTGGGGAACAAAGGCAGCAGGATGGAGCTGCTCCTGGGGATGAAGACAGGAGGGATAACGACAACTGGCACAGAGCAGGACAGGGGGCAGAGAGAGTGTGTGTGCGTGGCCTGCGCGTGCCTGTGGGTCTGCATGGGAAAGGATGTGGGTCTGGATTCTTGAGAATCCAAACGGGTGCAGAAGAGTGCGCATCTCTGCGTGGGATTGCAGGTGGCCGTGCAAGGGGGGGGCGGGGTTGCACGGAAGTGTGCACTTGTGCGTGTTCTCACGCATGTCTCGGCCGTCCCTGGTGCACCGCAGGAGGCTCTTATCTTTGTGGCTGTGTGTCTGTACACTGCCCCCCTCAATCCGTGAGGCATGACTGAGAAGGATCTATGAAACTGTGACAGATTTGCATGCAGGCATGCATCACTATCCTGAGCATAAAAAAAAAGATTGCCTCTAACTGCAACCTCACAACCTCATAAAGGTATTACCAGGAAAATAAACCATCTTTCTGGTTTCTAGATATACAGGTGGCGGATTTGTGATGTAGGTTTGTACCAGGCTGGAGATGCTTGGTTCAAGTGCTTGAGACTCATTTGCCTTGTCCAGCCCGGACATGCCTGTGCCTGTTCACTGATCTCTGAGCCCTAGCTGCCACATTCAATCTGACATCCTCCTACGAATGTTCAACGGGACTCAAGTATAATGAATGGGACAGTAATGCCACGACTCTCATTTTCACTCCAGGAGAATTAGCCTGCCGGAATGCGGTCATGTCAGGATGAGTCTGGAGGAAGGGTACCAAGTGAGGTCCCAGGACTTGATTGATGTCGTATCATGCAGACACATGTCTATCACTCACTACAAGTCAAGCAAGTCAAGTTCTGCAGCAACCTGACACTCCTGTCCACACCATCCCAGGCGTGGTGAGGTGTTGTGACGTGTTGTCTTGCAGGTCATGAACATGGCAGAAGAGAAATTTCTAGCTGTGAAGGTTTCAGCTGGTGAGAGGCAGTGAATCCCTTTGTTTCTTTTCCCATTCTTTCTCGATTGACACCAGTCTTGGCATTTAACAGGTTAAATCACCCTATCATCTGTGCCCAATCATCTCTCTCAATAATAAAGGTCATTATAGTGCCTATTCAACAGACACACTCACTCATATGAGCAGTTAATCACATTGACACCACAAATATTGAATTTAAACATTTAACCTCGCCCCAAAAACATACTTACACAAATTGAGGGATAAGTATCTTTTGATGTTCGTTATAGACAATGTCCCCCACAAAGCTAGTAACTCTTATTGGGTAATGACACGAAGATGTCAGCACAATGAAAGTGACTTATTTTATAAACCAAATGGTATAGTCTTTTAGTTCTAAAAGTGCCCAGAAATACAGTACTTCTTTTCCCTCCTATACGGAGGCTCAGCTGGGTAGATAATGGGATATTAATTTAAACAGAATGTCAGTAGCGTGTTCCCATACAGACAGAAATGCCAAGGTGTGTGTCCACACTGACATGTGCTTGTGTGTGCACAAGACAGCTGAGGACAAAGTCTAGCATGAGAGGAGTTATTTGGTCATTTTGGAGATTCCTTACATTAGGCACATTTAGCCAATTTGCCAAAGAATTCCTTTGCATCATATTTAACAAGACCTCTAAAAATATTACACATATCAGCTGACATTAAAAATTGTTTAAAAAAATCTGGATCAACTTAAGCTCCCATTTATTTCCTTTGTGTTGTAGTGAGAAAACAAAGTTTAAAATACCTGCTGGACGTAGCCTGGGAGGTTAATTTTTAAGCGCTTCAAAGACCTTAATCAGGTCTTTATGGAAACCTATTGCATAGCATAGTGGTCCATTTATGGCTTTACCAGCTGCAAGCTTTTGTGCGGATTGTGCTAATGAACCAGAAAACGATTGTTTTTAACTTTGCACATCTTTCCATGCCAAACATGATGAGAAACTCAATGCATCCAGCCCCGGATTTCAGCTTATATACCTGAGCCTGCAACCTTAAAGAACGATAGGTAACCCAGACAGAATGGCAAGCAATGAGACAAATAAAAGAATAACACATGAGAGTTTGAAAATAAAAATCATGCTCTGCCGTGTAAAACTATTAAAAACTCAAGAATGAAAATGAAATATTTGACCACTTCTTCAATAATATCCATTCTTTTCAGCTATGGGCGCTGTCTCTCCTTGTACCCAAGTGCTGATAGTTGTCCTGTGGAGATCGGAATGGAATGAAGTACAGATGTCTGTTGCGCTGGAAAGGTGACGGCTCTGGGCCTCTCTGTGCACATGCTAACACACAAATGAGTACTACGCCTGTCTTTTGTGCCTCTTCGATCTTCCTCGCACACCTCAGGATCCTTCACTGTCCTGTCAGAGAGAGAATACCCCTCAGGCACAGGAAGAGCAGCGACAATTCAGACAATTCCGCCCCCCCAGGCCAGGGCCGACACAGAAAGGGGAAAAAATGACAAATCACACCCAGCCGCCGGCCTGCCTGTGTGCCGGTCACTGTGAGGGACAATGAAGATCGACAAACAAAAACAGGGCCTCTTTCGCAGCCTGCTCACACCCCTATCATTTCTCCCTCTCCTGGAGCGACAGCCTCACCTGGGCAGGGGGTATCAGGTACTGCCCCTGGGGGGGAAAAAGGTCAAATCTCCCCCATCCCCCCTTCTCTCTCTCCTGATCTCTCCCCAGCAGTCCAAACAGGGAGCTGCGTCAGCATGCGCAGGCTGCAAAGGAACAGGGAAAGGTTTATTCCCTGCTGAAAAGAGAAGAAGACACAACGTTTCAGCTGCGGAGCCTTCTTCGGGTGTCAGGACATGGAATAAAGGTTTAATCCTCTCTCCCGCAGGCTTGAAACGCCTCTCTCCTGGAAACCAAGGCACACAGGAGCAGAAGTCAAACGCTGGGTATTCTGGCCCGGGGCAGGAGCGGTGAGGTTCTGAAGGGAGGCGATGGCGGGCGATCCCGGGCTCGAGCTGCAGGCCGGCCCCTCTCCCCCAGCCTGCAGATACCAATCGCTCCCTGCACTGGCCCAGGGAGGGCTGGCTGGGAAGTTTAGTACATGAGGGACAGCCTCCATCTTGAGCGGAGAGCGCCCCAGACAACAGGGAGCTCTTGGGATGAGGAGGAGCGGCCGGAGTCAAAAAGAGAGAGAAAGGGAGAAAAGCAGGGCAAGGGAGTAGAGGAGACAGCAGGAGGGGGCAGGGAAAGAGAAGGAGGAAGAAGCAGAGCACGGTGAACAGGGGGAGAGGGGGAAGGAGGGGCAGAGCAGCTCGTGGGTGGCGATGGGGTTTGTTTAAGGTCCTCTCCAGAGGGGCTCGCTAAGCCACAGCTCCTGCAGAGCAGAGAGGTTCCTAATGGCCGCCGCTCGGCTCTGCCTTTTTAATTGCTTAACGAGCTTGAAGGACCTCTGGAGAGCCCTCACGCAAAGAGCAAGAAAGGAAGAGGAAGGATGGGGACAGGGGAAAGAATACTCAATGCTGAAGGGTGTAGCTGACCCCCGGCTAAAGCAAACCACCAAGATATCTTTTTTCTGGCTCTTTGTTTTTAAAGGCAGATTGAAAGGCTCTCTGTTGACAGTGCAGGTCTGGGGATGAGGCTCCTGAATGGTCACACATTCTGCTGATCGCTCTTCCTGCCAGATCCGTTTCACGATTGCTGGTTTAAGATACCCAAGAATATTAATGCCCAGTATCTTCATTCGTTTGTATGCAGTTCCCTCGTTTGTCGACAAGAGGCTCTCCTTTCGTCTTAGAACATTTCTTTAATTAACTTTCGAGTTTGATACTGCAAAGATCAGAATAAACTCGCCCCTCCCTCCAACACACACACACGCGAAATAACTCTTTAGCCTATCTTGCAGTTAAGTGTTGCAAATCTCATTCAATACCTGAACGCAGAAGAAAAAACATATTTCTGAACTAAAAAAACATGACAATTGAACTGTCGACATTATAATTATTCAGCCGTTATCGCTACTACGATGTAGGAGGCACAACTCGTGTAACCCAAGCCTGGCAGGTATTAAACTACCTGGAGCGCCACGGCTCTCAAGCCCGACACTCGGTCTGGGGGCTCGTCAGCAGAGAGGGGGAACGGAAATGTGAGAATATCAAATAAATCACGAATTCGAAATGCACTGCATATTTTACTACTTGGGCGCCACAAGACGTCGGCGAACACCTTCGAAAAGCGACGGCAAGGCCAGTGGTCTCTTTCGAGTTGCTTCCCCGCCCTCTTGTGGGAATCCATCAAGGACACAGGATGCAATGGGGGGAAAACATCGCCGATCTCAAAAACATATTTGCCTCTTTAAAAGAGCTGGATAAACTTAACTTTATCCAGGCGTTAGAAGCAGACGGAATTTTTATCGCTGTTTGGGAACCCAGCGTTGTTGCCGTCACTGTGATAAACGCGTTGCTGTAGTTGGCTGTCTAATCTAGGCGCTGAGCAGGCGGCACTGCTGACTGGCTGGATGCTTTCGGAAATCGTCAGCACAGACGCTTTTAAGACACGAGGAAGCAAACCCCGGTACAGAAAACCTTTGTATAAGTCACATATAAACAAGACAACAAAAAGGTCTGCTTCATCCACCGGTGCGTTTGAATGGCACTTCATAATTACTAGAGCAGACAGGAAGTGTCGCAGCCCGGTATGAGCTGACCTAGTCTGTAAGACGAATACTATATTTGTCCCAGTTTACCGTTAAAATATCAGCAGCTTCACGAACTTCCAGTAGAGCCGACGTCACGGGCGGGTGCCTGCAGTCACTCACCGTGAACTCTTACTGGTGGAGCTGTGAGCCGCTTAGCCGCTTCAGATATCCCGAATAATAGTGTCTGAATCAGGCGCGGGGTGGAGAAAACCAGATTTAACCAGCATCTCCAATCTTGAAAGTGAAAGAAAACCGGAGTATCCCGGAACAACCCACGGAATGAACATGCAAACTCCTCACAGAATGCCCCTCAGTCCGGAACCCAACCCGAAGAGCAGACCCTCTGATGTTACAATTATACCAATTGTCACTGAACGTGAAATCTTCCATTAAGCCCACTGAAGAGTCCTAGAAGTTGTGAATGTGCTCAAGGACACCCACTTTTATGCATCGACCTACAACCTTAAAGTGGAAAGTGAACTTTTAGTTTATTTTTTTTAACACTCCTTTAGCTCAGAGGCGTTTTCGTGCAGGATGGCTCCTAAAGGCGACCCCCGCCTCACATTCTCGAAGCAGCGGTCTGGGCTGGTGGTAATATTTGGGAGGCGCCCGTATACTAACCACATGTCTCATCCCGTGATCCCGAGGCTGTTTTTCAGCTGGCGAAGAAAGCCGACCTGTGACAGGTGCACACCGCTCCTCTCCCCCTTTGCCTCGGCTCTGTTACTTTCAAAAGAATAAACCAATACAGTTTATGTTCCGAAAAACCATTTCCCAGCTCATCTCTCAGTGAGCGCGCACAAGCAGACACGCTTGAGGTGTTCAGACAACATAACCACAGAATCAGGAGCGATTTTTATTTAGACCTCCGTGCGACACTCCAGCGCGCCCCGAGAGCACACAGCGTCTTAGCGACAGCATTTCAGAGGCGTTGTTGCAAAACAGTTACCAAGACACCTGCAGGTGAAAACGGGACGGAACAGGCCAAAATAACCTTCGCTGCTTTTGTTCTGAAACAAAAACTACGTCGAGTTTGATATTTTTGCGTCTCGAAAAGTGCAGCGATTTTTTTTTGTTACAAAAATGCACCAGAACATTCACGTATCACAAAATTCACGAAACAATACTTGTTTTGTCTAAAAAACACAGTAAGCACACCTGTAAACAGTCAAATAAAGTTGATTCAAACTTCTTGGGGAAAAAAAAGCGAAAATGTTCAAGTATCATAAAACGGAAGAACAAGAGATACTAGATTGACAACGGAAATAAAAAAATTACATCAAAACAAGTCAGCTCCTTCAATGTAAATTCCCGTTCCTTCAGTTACAGTAGCTTGTTAGAGATCGCCCTCTGGCGGTGTCAATATCACGTTGCAGCTATGTTTCCCTAACGACCTTCTGTTACCTTGTACCGCTCGGTAATAACGTTTCCACGCTGGACATTTAGACATTTACATCAAACGGCAGCCTTACGGGTAATAATGTACAGGTATAAATAGAAATGTTTCAATAGTAATTCAATTAAACAAACAAAATAAACCCAGACATAAGGATTAATTACTTGCACAGGTTCTGACTCTAAAGGGGGCCTGCTCACGAAACATGCACGGGTCTGCCTGCCGGATCGTTGAGAAGTGGTTTAACTAACCAGGAACCAGAAGTGCTGTTAGGAGGAAGTGACCTGCTCAATGTCTGATATTCTCACTGAAATCTTACAGTATTTACAGACTTTGAGCCTTGAGTAGCAGTAGCACCTCCTTACCCCCAGGGATGTGTTATCACGGGATACCCAGCCGTGCTATCAAAGCCCTGGCTCCCCGGTTTGTTTCCAGTGAGGGCGAGTGAGAACCCACTGCCTGGCTCTGGAGCCCACTAACTCCCGACGTTCAAAAACAAGAGAAGGGGCGGTCAGATCTCAAGTCGGAAGGGCATTGCGGTGTTACTGATAACAGATGGCCACTGCTCATTCTTTTGGTTTGAAGATTATAATAATAATAATAATGGCTTACACTTATATAGCGCTTTTCTGGACACTCCACTCAAAGCGCTTTGCAGGTAATGGGGACTCCCCTCCCCCTGGATGATGCGACGGCAGCTATAGTGCGCCAGAACGCTCCCCACACATCAAGGGAGGAGAGTAGAGTGATGAAGCCAGTTCATAGATGGGAATTATTAGGAGGCTATGATCGGTAGGGGCCAATGGGAAATTTGGCCAGGACGCCATGGTTACACCCCTGCTCTTTTCGAGAAACGCCCTGGGATTTTTAATGACCACAGAGAGTCGGGACCTCGGTTTTACTTCTCATCGGAAGGATGGTGCCTTTTTACAGTATAGTCTCCCCGCCACTATACTGGTGCATTAGGACCCATACAGACCACAGGGTGAGCGCCATCTGCTGGCCCCACTAACACCTCTTCCAGCAGCAACCTTAGTGTTTCCCAGGAGGTCTCCCATCCAGGTACTGGCCAGGCTCAACCCTGCTGAGCTCCAGTGGGCTGCCAGCTGTGAGCTGTGAGCTGCAGGGTGATATGGCTGCTGGAGAGATGAATGGCAGAACCACAGTGGGTGGTGCAGTGCTGATTCACAGCTACAGGAGGAAAATACTCTCACTTCTGTAGGATAGAATACCGGTCAAGATCTGACACCAGGGGTATTGCAGTGATGCTGGACCTGATGCCTAGGGCTGCATTCCCATCAGTCTGGTTAAACAGCTTCAGCCCTCTATCTGGGGGAGGGTGCACCCCTCTGCTCCCTCTTTTCTAGGGTTCATGAGACTGTGGAAGCTGTGCTGGGTGTCGGTTCCGAGATTGAGAGCACTTTGCACTGAAATGGATGAGGCTCTCCTCATGTTGTGGTCAGTGTCCCGTGCGTCTGGGGCTTCACCGAGGTCGGCCCACCTCTCTGCCCCCACCAGCGCAGGACCACCCGGATCTGGTTTCTTCTGCCTGGCACGCCGGCGTCCTAGACGCGAACGGACACTGCCAGTCCGGCAACCGGGGAGCTCGGAAATTTAAACCGGGAAACGAGTTTTACCAAAATAAAAACAAAATAAGCAAACGGAGCAAGAGTTCGAAACAAAAGAGGCGACTTCCTCTCCCTGAGTGAAAAAGCCCTGACAGCTCACTGGTGGCCCTCATGCTGAGCTTGCACGTCCCTCCAGCTCACCGGCTTTCGCCACGTTCCAGACGCGTCCGTTGCAGATCATGAAAAGCAGCAGGAGGCAGTCTCGAGGGTGAGGCACTCTTCGTCTGGGCCTGCACCTTGGTTTCCTGGCCAGCCCGAGACACGCTCCTCGCAGGTACTTCACGTTCATTCGCCCGCCCCACTGCGGATCACGGCCGATCTCCACAGGCTCTGCCTGCAGGCAGTGTGCCCCCCGGGTTTCCGGGCCGTTCTGGTCTTTACGGAACAACACAGCGGGCTCTCACGGGTCAAAACCAGCGTTAAGATGCAGGAGGGTGAGTGTGGGAGAGGTTTCCCACACGGATGGGGTGGGGGTGGGGCAGCCATCCGGGGAAAGGCGAGACATGGTTCTGAAGCGCGGCCCGGCCTCGGGAGAGGGCGAGGAAGCCCGTTAAGACAGAAACGGGCCCATCAGAGAGGTCCGTCTGAAAACGAGCTGCCGGCGGGGGTCCGGGAGAGCTCCCCCCTCAGAGCTCCTTGTTCCGGCGCGGGATGATGATCTTGCGGTAGGTGCGCCTCTCGGAGATGTTGCGCTTCACCTTGACGACGGGGGCGGGGGTCTCCAGGTTGAGGGAGGGGCTCGAGTGGGACTTCTTCAGCTCCTCCCCGTCCGTCTCCACGGCCTCGCACACCTCGCCGTCGAAGCGCTCCAGGTCGTCCGTCCCCTGCGCCTGCCACGCCCGCAGCAGCTGGAGGTACACCTCGTACCGGCTCTTCTGCACAGGGGGAGAGGGACCGCGGGCCCGAGAGTTAGGGCAGAAGGGTGCGAGGGAGATGGACAGAGGCACAGAGAGTATAATAATATTTATGCTCATATAGCGCCTTACAGGGCACTCCACTATAAAGGGCTTTACAGATAATGAGGAGTCCCCTCCACCACCGCCAATGTGCAGCACATGGATGGTGTGACAGCAGCAAAGGTTTGCCAGTACTCTCACCACACACCAGCTCTCAGAGGGGAGGAGAGCAGAGTGATGAAGCCGGTTCAGAGATTAGGATTATGAGGAGGCCATGGTACTCCATACATACATGTACAAGATACATGATACCTATACTCCCTATACCTCTATACTACACTACACTTCTGTGCAGAGTATGCAAAATTACCTAATACAGGCTCCATACATGTCCTGTGTACCTAAACAGGGCTAGGGTTTCCCAGAGAAGCTCAGTATATCACATGTACCCAGGCATCACTGCTTTCTGAGGCTGCAGCCCACCCAACCTCAGGTTTCCAATATTTCGATTTGCTAACAGATAACTCCGACACATCGGCCAAATGCTCTCCATGATGAACACATCATGTGCAGTTTTTACCCAATGGGCAAACTGCACAAACCATAACCAAGGAATTTACCAAGCACAATGGAAAATGGTCCACATTGGAACATGGTATTTGTTCCAATTTGTATTTCTGCGTATTTGATGTTTCCTGGCAGAAAATGTGAGATCTCCATTGCTGATTCCACTGGGTATAATGTCAGACGCAGCATGCACAGAGCATCACAGGGAATGGGTCCACAGCTCACACAGAGCACGCAAAGGGAGTGAGAACAGAGCTCGCACAGAGCTTGTACAGAGAACGCACAGGGAGTGAGCACAGAGCTTGCACAGAGCATACACAGGGAGCAAGTACAGAGCTCGCACAGAGCATACACAGGGAGCAAGCACAGAGTTCGCACAGAGCACACACAGAGCACACACAAAGCATACACAGAGCATACACAGGGAGCATGCACAGAGCACACACAGAGCATACACAGGGAGCATGCACAGAGCACACACAGAGCATACACAGGGAGCACACACGGAGCTCGCACAGAGAACACATGGAGCACATGCACAGAACACATATGCAGCACACACACAGAACACATATGCAGCACACACAGAGCTTACACAGATCATACACACAGAGCACACACACCATGCACAGTGGACACACATGCAAACAGCAGAGACACAGACACAGTGGACAAACACACAAAGTGGACACGCACGCACAGTGGACTAACACAAACAGTGGACA